TATATATATATATATATATATATATATATATATATATATATATATATATATTCAATAAGAAATATTGCTGAGTTGTAACTAAAGAAATATATGGCTAAGAACACTGCATCATTTACAATTATCACTCTTACCAACTGCACAGTGGCATGCAAAACCCACAGAAAGATGGATTCTCGAGAACATTAATGGAATATGATATTATTTTGAAGGATGGGTGTATACTGGAAAAGAATACCAAATTGTAGCATGTTCTGAAACAAGCAATAGAAGAAGGAAAGAGAAGTCCTTTTGAAAAATAATATACATATAATGAAAACTTTACTTGCAGATATTGGCATAAAAATCATACTCTGCCATTGTAGCTATATCGTTTCCTACAATGAAGTGTCAACTATAAGAATAAGGTTATACACATTCTGAGAGGTTGTGCAAATGGCATCAATACAAATTTGTATTTAGTATAGTTTTTGAGCTTCTTGCCTTGTTACTATCTACCTTTGGCCTAGCATATAACTCTATTTGTCACATTTAAGAAAATTCATTAATAATTATCCCCAATAGACCAGATTGATGTTTGGCCACTAGCAATAACTCTGAACTCATAGTATCTTGAGCCAGAAATACCATCCCTGTATCTAAATAAGAGGTCCTAAACAATTCCAGATCATTTCACTCAAGGAAGCTACTTGTGCTACCCACTCACTATTAATCACCATTCACCTGCGGATCAAGCCAACAGGAAGCATGACCAGCAGGTAAACAGCCACAGCTTCCTCCTCCACACACTTGCTATTTATAAGTCAATCAGGTGAATCAATTTACAGTAATTTTCCTTCTTCTAAGCATTCATGGTAAATCTTCTGAGAGTTACTACCTAAGTATTACAATTCGCCCTTACAATAAAGCTAAAGAAAAAAAAATAACATCTCAAATAATCATTAAAGATGTATGACATCAAAATTTTCTCTGCTGTGGGAAGAAACCAATATAAAGACAAAAGAGATTGCAAGCATTGGAGACTAATCAAGAAAACTACTACCAAAATCTGCTACCTGATTAAAGGAGTGTGAATCAAGAACAACCAAGAAGGGCGCTTCTCACAATTGGGCGACAACCACATTACGTCCATTATCACTCTGATCAAAAGTGACGCCCGTAGAAGCGTCTAACCCATGTTTGGGAAGAGGCCCATTCCAACCTTGGGAAGAGGCAGACGGTGCTCTCTTGCGGCTGCGGGAAGCGGTGGGGCTCGGCCATCGGCCCGCTGAAACCCCGCCATCCCAAATCAAGAAAAGCGCTCAGTCGATTTATAGGAAGAAGCGATCGGAACGTCGGTGAGTGGGGATGAGCTTACCGGCAGCGAAGGTAGGGATAGGATTGCGAGGCAGGTCTGGTACCATGGGAAGAGGGAGAGAAGGGGAGGAAAAGAAGGACGAGGTGAGACATCGCCAGTTTTCCGCGGGCTCCGATGGGGGCGAGAGAGAGAGAGAGGGGAGGGGTGGTGGAGAAGACGAAGGAGAGTGGATCACAACCGTTCATCGCGATGAGTCACCTCTCAGGATCGGGCGAGATCCGCCGAGCAGCAACCAGCGGAATCTGCCAGCTCGCCTCGCCCGTTTCATTGCGGGCCCCGCAAGAATAGGTCAATTCCATCTCCTCCGATTTGTGGGGTATAGTAAAATTTAAAGGATTATAATTGGTTGATCTGATCTGGTGGCATACCTGTAATAATAATAAAAATAAATAAACTTCTTGCCTAAAAGCCACGGGACACAGAGATCTTCCTGAGAAAAGCTTAATGGGCCAGTTGGGCCCAACCAAGAAGAAACTCCGAATCTTTTACCCAATATATCTCAATTAAGTAAATGTCACGACCAAATGTTGTTCCAAACCACAACGGCATCGACGAGAGAGCAGCATCCGCATGGAAGAGTCCAAGGAATATACCATTTCAAGGAATATACTCTTGGAATCTCCACGAGACCAATTCGTCGACCTGCATTAATTAGTTGCAGATTCCTATCGCGTCTTATGGCAGCCCAAGCTGTGTCCAACCGGCACCGCAATTAATTGGCAAACGCCCCTTGGACACGGCGAAGGACAAACCCTTATCCAACGCAGCGTGTAATAAACGGCCCAAAACACGCCGCCTCCATGTTAAGACGCATCGGAACCCTCCAGAATCTCCCACGCGGCGCGGCTGCAGCGGCCAGAAGAGGAAGATTCCGTGGCTACACCTTTTCGCCGAAACGGATCTCGACCGTCCGTTGGCTCCCGCAGCGAGATCCGCACGTCGGGTTCGGTCTTATCCACCCCCACGTCAGCGCGAGCGCATCGAAGCGGAATCCCACCGCGGAACGATTCAAACCCCGACCTTCTCTTTATGTATTTAAAGTTGGGTCCCGCCGCCGACCCCACCTTCCCCCTCCAATCCCTCGCCGCCTTCCATCGGAAGGACATGGATTTTTATACGCGACGCCCCGACCCTGATTCCATTCTCATCTTCAGCTCCTCTTCTCCTGCACTTCTCCTTGGATTCCAAGTTTGTTCCTTTCGTCTTCTCATTTCTTATTTGTACACCGACCCCCCGGCGACCAAAATCTCTCTCTTGAGCACGGCAGATCCCGGCACGCGGCGATGGACCTCTTGGATCGAGTGCAGAGTTGCCATGACTACATCAGAGCGCTCGAGGAGGAGCGCAAGAAGATCGAGGTCTTCCAGCGGGAGCTGCCCCTTTGCCTTAAACTTGTTACGCATGGTATGTATCTATCCGTGGATCGATCGATCTATTCTCTCTTCTTTTTATGGTTGGCGACGTTGGGTTGATGGTGGTGCAGCGATCGAGAGCGTGAGACAGCAGATGAGCGACGGTGAGAGGGTGAGCAATGGGCCTGTTTTGGAGGAGTTCATCCCTCTAAAGCCGAGCTTCAAGTCGCCGTCATCAGGGGCAGTGGCGGCGGCGATCGGGTCGGATAGGAAGCCTGACTGGCTTAGATCCGTCCAGCTCTGGAATCAGGAGCCGGACACGTCTCTTAAAGTGGTGAGCCTTTCTCTTTCTCCCTAATTTAAGTGATGGATTTGGAGTAGTTTCTTGTGATTTTTGTGCATTTGACGCTAATGCGTTTTGATTTGTTGATGGATTGCAGGAGCCACCGAAGAAGCCGATCGCAGTGAGCGCGAAGAGGATCGGCGGCGCATTCCAGCCTTTCGAGAGGGAAAAGCTCGTCGTGCCACCGCCGGCTTCCAGGGCGGTGGCTGCGAGCTCCACTAACAGTGCTGGTGGTAGAGGAGAGGGTGGGGGATGCGGTGATAGCGATGGTAGTAGCAGCGGAGGAGAAAAGGAGGAGAAGGAGAAGGAAGGGCAGTTTCAGTCCCATCGGAAGACGAGACGCTGCTGGTCGCCAGATCTCCACCGCCGCTTCCTGAACGCCCTTCAGCAACTCGGCGGCTCCCACGGTAAGCCCAACAACAACATCATCATCTCTGTTGCTCTTCACATGCTGTGCATCTAAACTGGGTGCCGTGCCGTTGTTCGCAGCTGCAACGCCGAAGCAGATCAGGGACCTGATGAAGGTCGACGGGCTCACCAACGACGAGATCAAGAGCCATTTGCAGGTTAATTTCAACTTCACCATTTCACTCTTCCCTGTAAATTATCATATGCTTCTGCACGAACACTGCGCCACTGCGTACCGTAATGCCTCCGCAAAGAATCGGATTCGTTTCGACCGATTCACTCGTTGTGTTCCGTCATCTCCTCCATGAATTCCCCATTGCCATCTGACGCTACATGTTCTGTAGTCCTTTTGTCCTCTACCAAGGATCCTGAAGGGATCTTTCTTCGAATCGGCATTTCATGTGGCGAGATCAACATCCCAATGTTGGATCCGCACGGACCCCGCTGTCAACCCTCGCTGCTGTAATAATCCTGGTGGGCCCCGTGATTTGCCCAAACCACTCGTGTCTTGATGGGGTATAGATTCCCTCTAACCACGCATGTGATTTGGGTTCCACCAGATCTACATCGATCTGCCATCATTTGACCACAGCCCTCACCATTCCCCGTCATCCCTACCGATGCGATGCCTGCTGCTGATAAGGTTGCTTCTGTGTAGAAATATCGGCTGCACACCAGACGACCGAGCCCTGCGGTTCAGAGCAGCAGCCACCCGGCACCGCAGTTTGTGTTGTTGGTTCCTCCGCCGGATTACGCTGCGGCCGCCGCGGTTGCAGCTGCAGCGCAACCTGGAAATGGTGCTTGTGCTCCGACGAACGGAATCTACGCCCCGGTGGCATCGCTCCCGTCAGACCCGAGATTTCAGCAGCAGCTGCAGACGAAGAAACAATACCAAAGATCGTGCAGTGGAGGAGAAGACAGCACGGGGGGTGACGACGATGATGCCACTAACACGGAGTCCCTTGCAACCTCGGCCTCCTCCCAAACTACGACGGCATCACCTCCGTTTTGACTGAGAGCAGCTTCACGACATGTGCCGTCGAAAATAATTAGACAGAAGATATACATGATGCATGGTTTAGTCTCACCGAGGTGTCGTAAACGAAGATACTGAGTTCATACTATTGATGCAGAGTTTTGCCGAACCTTCTGCTGCTTTATTCTCCACTGTTTGACTATTTCTTAGCTGTAAATTGAGATCAGGAACAGATAGTGTCGAGCAAGTTCTCTCACGATCACGATTCAGAATATGATATTGGTGGTCGAATCTCATTATTGATATCAGAAAGGCATTGAAATGGCTTTAATGCTCCGAATTATTGGTCGATGACATTGTCGACGTCCTCTCGACAACCCTTGGGATGTGTTGACTCTTTGCAAGCAGCAAGGCACATGCGACCACTGGCACTCTTTTATATCCATTATACCTTTGCAGGCCTTAATCGAGCTTCTGACTTCTGTACCATCCAGCAGTTGCCATAGTTTGAAGTTAGATTCTCGAGCATCTTTTGCAATTACCAATTTCTACGCTTCCTTACATCGCCACCTCGTTCTTCGTCAAGTGGAATCTTAATCATACGCACGTCATCAGCCAAATCACCGACTTAAGACGTCCACCAACCCAGTAAACTATTCAGTGGATAAAACCAAACTTCCATCGGCTAAGAAACAAATCTACTTTGGATACCCGCCGAATATTCGAACCACCCGACGCCTCGTCGGAGGGAATCCAGCGAGCGACGGTGCGACGCATCTTTCGTGGCGTGGGGCCCCAGCAATTGGATATTCTGGGAGCATTGAAACAACAACGAAAAAGAGTTGATGGAGAGATGTCGTCGTGATTCTAATAATCGCTGGAACAGCAGCACGTTTTTTGAAGTCTCTTTCACGAATGCGTTTCGAATAATTTATTGTGGGGAAAAAGATCGTCCGGCGATCTGCGGTTCTCTGTAGCCAGAAGTAATGGGATCCAATGTGTCTGCCACGTATGTATCGCTAAGGTATTGACCATGAGTTGGTGAGATGTTGACAGTCTATTGTCATGTGTCATCTCCCCGTTTCAAGATCGACCAATATTATTATTATTAATTATTTCAATAATTAAAAAGTATTATAATTTAGGATTCATTCATGGATGGATCGATCATCTAATTCATTTCTAACTGCACGGGCTGGGCCTATTTCTCACCTTTGTGAAAGCTAACTGATCGTCACGGGCTGAGCCCTATGTGTTGGGTCTCGATTCACGCCTTCCTCATTTCTCTCTCATCGACTGATCCATAAAAGAAAAATACATGAACCGAGCTCCTCGTAGCTTCCTTAGGATCATCCATCCTCGAGCGCTTGCTTATGGTGGGAGAACTGCTTCTTGGACAAGACGACGCTACAGGAGATAGCCATGGCGTGGTCCAAGTTCCAGGCAGAACAGTGCAACTAAGCTACTTTGTTGAAAGATTTTCCCCACGTTACGAGAAAATCTCGCTGCTCTGTTGAGAAAAATCCTCCCTTCTAACCCATCTCAATGAGGAACATAGCTTTTTCTACAATTTCTATCTTCTTCATTTAATTCCTTACATGGTATCAGAGCTGCTTGCCTAGAGTAAGCTCTCTTCTCGTTGTCTGACTCCTCACCAACCTCATCAGCGGAGGTGCTTGACGCCGACGTTGCCACTTTGCACTGGTGCCTCTAGCGCTGTAGACACCGGTGCTTCTTCCCTCACCGACGCTACTGCTCCATCCTCGCTAGCAACAGCAAACCACCTCCCTGCCATCATTACTGATCCGATCTCTAGATCTGATTCTGTTGAGACTTTGTCGTCGACCATCGAATCACTACTAGTAGATCTCCCCATCGCAACCCTTGTTCACGTCGGACTTCCCCTATTTCATTGGTCTACTCGGTGGCCTGTTCTCTTCGGCATCAACCAAATCGCAACTTCATTCACCACTGCCAGTGTTCTCCTACCTGAGTTGCCGGCTTTTCTTTACGACCGTTTGTCATTTCCTCTGCCTTGGCGCACCTTCGACAACATTAATCTAAAGCAACAAAGGCATTCTTCCTCTCTACGTCGCATTTGCTTCTTCCTCTCTACGCAGGTTCCTGCAGACCGACGGAGCGATGACCAATTTTCACGGTTATCCAAAGGTGGCAACTACACATCCTGGCAGGCCCAGTTTTCTAATCTCCTATTTGGATACGACTTACTAGGCTACATTGATGGCTCTCTTAGTTGTCCACTAGCCATGATCAATATTCTCGGAGAACCCAGTCCAGTACCAAATCCAACTCACAAACTATAGCTACGTTAAGATCATCTCATCCTCCAAGCTATTCAAGCCTCAATTGCTGGTTTCGTTGCTCTATTGATATATTCATGTGCGACTGCTGCAGAAACATGGTATAAGTCGCAAACAACCTTGGTGAATCGTTCGCGTACTCGAAAGCTTGCCCGGACCAACCATCACAGCTCAAGTTAGTCACAAGTCCAAGAGGAAGAGCAACCAATACAATATGACCATCACCAAAGGTTTGGCCAAGATACCTCTTACCCCTATGGTGGGTCCCAAGCAACCCCCCCCCCCCCCCCCCCCTAATCCCCATCATCATAATTTCTCGTAAAGTGGCAACTCCAATACCCATCAGCCTTAGTGTCCTGCCCTCACAAGCCAACAAAGAGGCATCTACTAGTTGTGTAATAAAATCGGCCACTCCGCTAAAGTTTATCGATCTCGACCCTGACTCCTTGCTTCGTCACAATGGCCTCAGGCGAATCTCTACACCAACTACTAGCCAACCTAATTGGTTTATGGATTCTGGCGCCTCCCATCACATCACCTTTGATCTTCAGAATTTGTCATCCACAACAACTATAGCGGGAATGAATATATCATCATCGGTGATGATAAAGGACTACCTATAACTCATACTAGTTCCACAACGCTTAATTCTGATACTACAACCTTTATACTCGATGATGTTCTATATGCCACTCATATTAAATGAAACTTTATTTCTGTTTTTCAATTTTGCAAGCACAACAATGCTTCAATTGAATTCTTTCTTGATTCTTTTCTTGTCAAAAACTTGAGCACGGGGGCATCCTTAGTCCAAGGCCCAAATAGAGGTAACATTTACGAATGGTCGTCAGCTCCACAAATAACTCAACCCACTGTCCACTCTTCAGTTGTAGCTCCAATTGATGTGTGACGTCATCATCTTGGTCATCCCTCATCCCTTATCCAGTAAAAATTACTTTCTCGTTACTCTCTTCCTATTTTTAAATCAAGTAGTTCTATAATACATTGTGATGCATGTCTTAGCAATAAAAGTCATCGATAGCTCTTTGGCACATCTTCCATATCATGCTCTAAATCGTTTAAAATTATTTATACCGATTTTAGGGGCCCTGCTCCAATCATTTCTTTTGACAAATTTATATTTTATATCATTTTTGTAGATTACTTCACTAAATACATATAGTTATATCCTCTTCACCATAAATCTGAAGTGTCCACAATCTTTACCAACTTTCGAAAGTTGGTTGAGAACTACTTTCAGTCTACAATCAAAACAGTTTACTCTAATGGTGGAGGTGAATATCAAGCCCTAACAATCTCTCAGCTTGTGGTATATAATACCTCAAGTCACCCTCGTATACTCCTCAACTAGTTGGCTCTGCCGAACGCAAACATCGACATATAGTTGAAACTGACCTCACACTTCTACATCAGGCCTCCATGTTTTCAACATTTTGGACAACGGCCTTTCAAACTACAGTCTACCTTATTAATCGAATGCTTACGCCAGTCCTATAATACTAGTCCTCATTTGAAACATTATTTCACAAACCTCCAAACCTTCATAAACTCAAAGTATTTGGTTGTTTATGTTATCCATGGTTATGTCCCTATGCCTCCTATAAGATAACATAAATATCTAAACCTTGCATCTTTATAGGATACTCTCTTGAACATAATGTTGTCCAATGTTATAATCCCCATACTCATAAAGTTTTTATATCACATCACGTTATTTTTGTTAAGTCTATCTTTCCTTCTAAAAACCACGAGTCTCCTGTCATGCGAGCCTCTCATGACACCGTTCAGTTCCTCCCCACAGGATCCACACTCTGCTACTACTCCATTTCAGTAATTGTCTATTCCCTCTATTACTACTCCACTCATTTTTTCTTAAATTGATGAGGTAATACATTCATAAACATAATCATTGTCTTTACCTTCTTCTAGACTAAGTGACATTGAGGTATCTCAACCTGACCCGGCCTGTGTCAATGACTCTCCACCACTTCTTCCAACAACACAATCTCACAATCTCGTAGCCTCCAAACATCCTATGACAACACGCTCCAAGAGTGATATTTTCAAACCATGTCAAGTCCTTGACTTACATGCTATCACAGAATCCTCATATAATACCATTGAACCCATCACCTTTACTCAAGCTTAAAAATCTCTACAATGGCGTAACGCCATATGTGAGGAATATGGTATCCTCTTCCATAACTCAACATGGAACCTAGTACCCTTTCATCATACACAAAATGTCATCGGGTGTAAGTGGGTCTTTCAAATTAAACAGAACCCAGATGGATATGTTGCCCGATATAAAGCATGTCTCATCACCAAAGGGTTTAATCAACGACCTGGAGTTGATTTCACTGAGACATTTAGTCTCATTGTTAAGCCCACAACAATCTGACTTATCCTAGGTCTGTCTACCACTAAAGGCTAGCAATTATGATAATTGGATGTTAATAATGTCTTTTTATAAGGGACTCCAACTTAAGATGTTTTTATGCAACAACCTCATGGTTTCATTCATCCTCAGTATCCAAGGCATGTTTGCAAACTTAAAAAGTTATTTATGGACTTCGTTAGGCTCTAAGAGACTAGTACATTGAACTTGGCTCATTTTTTACTTCTGTTGGCTTTATCAACTTCAAGTCTGATACATCGTTATTTCTACGACAATAACTTAAAGGCACAATATATATTATGGTATATGTGTATGACATTATTGTCATAGGCAATAATACTATCGAGATCCAGACATTCATCAAGCAATTGACAGATTGATTCTCTCTTAAAGATCTAGGAACCTTGAACTACTTTCTGGGCGTAGAGGCAACATATACATCTTTAGGTCTATTCCTCTCACAAACAAAGTACATTCAAGATTTATTATCAAAGACAAATATGCAGGACACAAATACGGTTACAACTCCCCTTTCTACTAGTGAATCTCTCATATTATCTAATGGAAGTCCTGCTACGAAACCCACTCAAT